CAGGCACTGCCCCCTGTCCCCGCACCATGCTCTGCTGGAGAGGGCCACAGGCTCCCCACCAGTCCCCACCGGGAGGCGGCGCTCATTACCAAGTCAGGCTGGCCCTGTGGCCACTGCCCCCATGGGAGACGGCCGAGGAGGCTCCCAGCTCCAGGCCTTGGCACTGTGGTAGGAGTTCTGGGGCCACCTGACAGCCGGTCCCGGTGGGGGGACTTCATGGAGGGCAGAGCACTGGCCATCCCAGAATCCCGACAGGGTGAGCCAGCAAAGCCCTGGACCTCGAGTGACTAGCATGGAGCCTGTGAAGCCACTCAGCAAGAGGACTCCACAGCACTTGTCACCTCTGTCACGACTGAGTGCCAAGCAGAGGATAGCCTTCCTGCCCAGCACGCAGCCTGGCCTGGACCCCCACCCCACTTCATCATCGGGGGCTCAGAGTGGGTCACGACATCCTCCAGAGCCCTGCCTAAACCTCCTCCAGTCCCACTCATCGCCCCAGTCTCTGTGGCCCTCCACCCACCCTAGGGCTCCTGAGAACTGCACAGGCCTGGAACAAAATTACTTTCAGGGCCCCCCAGAGAGAATGGGGGTGCCTAGTTCCCTGACTCTTGCAGTCAGGCAGGGCAGGAGTGGGGGTACAGGGGGAGACAGGTGGGGTGCGGCATCTGAGCGGTGGGCCCTGGGAGGAGCGGGCGGGGTAGCACTGTCCACTTTCTGCTGCCAGCACAGGCCTGGCACCTGCCCTAACCCCAGCCCTGGGACTGACCAACTCCTGCTGCCCAGAGCCCCCTGCACCCACCCAGCTGCCCACACAGTCAGTCACCAAGACCAGGGCTCTTGCCCTGCTGCTGTCCTTGCACCCACGAGGGCTGGGAGCTTGCAAGCACCCCCTTTCTCCCCCGCCACTTCCCATCCCCCTCCAGCTCGGTCTCCCCATAATGCAGCCCTGCCTAGTCACCCCTCGACAGCATGGTGGGCGCGGGCCGGCTCCTCACAGCTGCCCCGGACCTCCGCCACACCGCCTCTGGGCTGTCAACGCGCTCAGCTCGCAGGCAGAGGTGGGAGGCTCCACCTCCCCCAGGAGGCCTTCCTGTGTTCAGCAGCTCCCTGGCTCCCGCAGCCCCTGGCTGCTCCCCGTCAGGGTCTCCCCGGGTTATGTGTGGGCTCCTGGAGGCAGGGCCCAGTGTGGACCTGCACCCCAGGGCTGGGCAGGCACCACTACCTGAGGTCTCACGATATCAAAGCCCCAACCTCCTGGGAGCTGCTGGTCCCACGGTCTCACCAACCCACTGAGGCAGGCGCCTGATTCCTCAAGGGGGCCCGGCCCCCCAGCCCAGACCTCTCGAGCCCAGGCCTGCAAAGGAGCTGATCATAAACCAGGCCCTCCCAGGCCGCCCACAGCTGCTGGTCCCCAGGATGCTGGCCCCTGACAGGTGTGGGCAGCCTCTCCTGGCATAGCCGCACCCTGCTGTCCTCCAGGTCCCTTCAAGTGGTCTCTTGGAAGCTGGGCTGGAGCAAGGCACCCCTCCTGGCATGGCTTCCAGGGCCTCAGGGGTGCGTGTTCTGTGGAGGGACAGCCGGTTTTCTCGTTCGTGGGCTGCTCATGGCCCTGGGTGGAATGTGAAAATGGCCTGGAGTGTCCTCCTGGCCTACGCCCCCTCCAGAACCCCCCAGGAAAGGCGCTGAAGACAGATACGGGCTGAGTGGGCTCTTAGGAGGGCGGCCAACTCCAGAAAGTCGCGTTCTGTTAGAAAGGCAGGCTCCGGGCCAGGAAGGTGTGGAAGGCGTGGGTGGGCTCCGCGGACCTCTGCGGGTGGGGGATGAGCACGTCCTTGTCCACATCCTCGGACACCAGCTGGGCCACGATCTGTGCGACCTCCTGCGGGAAAGGACAGGGTCAGGGGCAGAGCTGGGGAGGGACAGGCCCCCGCGAGCCCGTGTTGCGCCCCCCCACCCCAGGCGCACCAGGCGGTGGGCGGAGGCCCCCCCGGCGCCACGCCTCTCCCAGACGCCCTGCATGGCCAGCCTCCGGTGCTCTTCGATGCTAAGGCTCCAGTGTCGGCTCGGGCGCCTGCTTCTCTGCAGCGGCTCGCACACCTGCGGGGACAGGACAGCGGTTCGGCTGGCCACGCCCGGGAGATCCCTGCACCTGCCTGCCCTCTGCACCCTGCGCAGGGGGTGCCGAGCCCCCACAGGAGCCAGGTCAGACTCCCAGGGCGGCGGGCAGGGTCTCGCAGCCCCTGGTCCTGTGGCTTTCCACGGCTTTGCGCAGCTGTCTGCGCCTGGACGTCCTCCCAGCCCCTTCCCGCCCCTGTGCGCACGGGGCAGCCCCAGACGTGGAGCCTACAGCGGAGGCTGTGGCCGCCCAGCTCACGCCCTGACAGAGCACCTGAGCCTGCCACGCACACTCTGGGGAGGCCGGGAAAACTGTGGCCAGACTGGTGTGCGCCTTAAGAAAGGCGGGGCCCAATGTCAGCCTTTCCTCCTCAAGTCCACCAAAAATGACCACAAAGAAATGATGAAATAATGCTCAGGAATCCATAATGCTCACGAAATGGGGGTGCTACTAACTGGGAAAGGCCAGGAGGCCACACCCTTGCAGAACCCTGCCCGCAGAACTTCCCAGAACTAGGCTGTCTGTGAAAGACCCTGGGGGTCCCCTCCCAGACTGCCCAGCCGGGGGCCATCCTGCTACCTCCTTGGGGAAAGATAGGGGTGCCATGGGGGGGGTTGCCATGCTTAAAAGTAAGGATTAAGACAAACTCAAAGTGAAGTCCCCATTCCTCAACAAATTAAAAATAGAATTACCATATGATCCAACAATCCCACTTTTGGATATACACCCAAAGGATTGAAAGCAGGTCTCAAAGAGATAGTTGTGCACCCAAGTTCACAGCAGCATCACTCACAATAGCCAAAAGGCAGAAATCA